GCCCGCTGGATCTCAAAAAGAGAGATTCAATAAAAATATATAAATTTAATGGCAAATTGGATAAACCCATAAAAACAACGAGCAGCCACATAAATGCAAATAATGATAATATAAAGTTTAAACGGAACAGTAGAGAAAATCCGATCAAGAATGACAAAACAAACTAAATATTACTTAACTGTCTGCAACCAACAACCAATACATATTCTGTTAACCCCTCGTCCAAGAATCTACACAGTAACAACATTTATAATGATAATTATGTTGTTTTGATTTGAGAAATAAGGATTTCTATACTTCACAGCCAGAAAATCCTACAGACTTTAATAAAGGTGGAGAAGCTGATGTAATCTATACAAAGCAGCAACTAGAAAGTATCAAAAACAGTGGCAGAAACAAGCGCAGTACTGCCACAATACCATTGTGGCCGGATGGTAATGTGGTATACGAGATTGTGGATATTGGTAAGAGTATACGCCATGCTTAAATTACCGTAATCATAAATAATTAATTGCCTACTATAAATATCCACCAAGGCCTGAATATATATTGATGATGAGGATGATAATGATAATGATGATAATGTCAATAATATTAATTTTTAAAAGAGAAATGTGTGTTCTTATGTAAGAAATACATTTTTAAAAAGATCATTTTGAATACATGAAAGTTAAGACCTTTGACTATCGTTATATTTTTATTTTATCGAACATGTTGGTATATTCATTTTTTAAAATAACCGTTGCATTTAGGAACTGATCTCGAAAATTTGGTGCGCCAAGCTATTTATGAATGGTCCGAGGCTACTTGCCTCGTTTTTGAAGAATTTGATGGAAACGACGCTAACCAGTCCAGGATACAGTTCGTGAGTTCTGATAATCAGTGAGTTATAATTCTTTCTTTCTATTTAGAGTTACAGACTATAGGACGTCAATAACATTGGCTTTGTTAAATTAGTTCCGTCAAATATTATCTTATCCGTCTTCAAATAAAACTCACTCATTGGTGGCGCTGTCTAGAATGTGGAAAATAGACACTAAGTTTTTACAGTACCAGGTTGGATATCTATTGTATTGCTGAAGGATTTCTGTTTGTTTAATTGTAATATTAATTGCTATGCCATTAAACATTAAATATATATATATGTATATATATATATATTATATATATATATATATATATATCTTAAATATTGCAATTGACATTTACAAAACAAACAAAAATGACATAGCAGAGGGTAACCCTTTAAGCTGGAATGCTTGTCTCAGAAGGGGTCCTCAACTAAACATTGGCATGAAAAAATATTATTATTCATGACTGACTGGGCTGGATTTAGATGACTAAATAAATGACTAACTTGTGGGTCATTATTAGGCGTACGTAGTGAAAAATTATCATTTGAATGAACACGTCCGTGATATACGGTAGAATAATCGTAATAAAACCAGCATCAAGACATCAGCGAGTATACAGTACCTTCCTAGCATAGCCTTTGTAGCAAGCTATGCGGATCCTTCAATGGCAGAAGCCCAAAGTTAGGCCTGCCAATGCCCCTACTGGTTAGTGTTGTTAAAGGAGCTTAAAAATCTGTAGGTCTATGCCTATCAATTGTTAATAATTTTTTAGTTATATCTTATATCGGATAAACGCCTACCACTAGCCCAGATATAAGAAAATTCAAATAAAACTTTGAATGTTAAAACATTCAAGAAGTTAACAGATTAAAATAACATTTTTCTAATATTACCTGTGTAAATTAAAGTGTAAAGTTACTCATGAATATTAATACCAATAGCAATCCAGAATAGTGATAATCCACTGGTTGTTGACCCACCGTCTCCCAATATGAACTATGCAACAGGCGGTAAATATATTATTCCTCTATAGGGTCCTGGTACCCGAATAACCATCGCTAATGAAGGTATGCATATCTTGGGGTAGGGACATCAGGCCTACTCCGCCGAGTGATCTATAGGCCTACCCAAAATAGTCACACTATACCCAAAGGAGTACAGATGTAAGCCGCTCGCCCAATGCCAACATACCCCAATTTAATCAGACTATAATATTCATTATGGGGTAGGGACATTACTCCGCTTAGGGCCTAATGACCCGAATACCTAACCTAATACAACAATGAATCTGGAATCATGAAGTAGGGATTGTAATGCGCTAAGGACATGTCACTCGCAAGCCCCTTCTTTTGTGAGCAAGTAAAAATTAGGATGTATATAGGCCTAGTACGGTACCAGTGGCGGCACCAGCGGGGGGGGGTTGGCAGGGGGCTTAAGCCCCTATCAGTCTAGTCAACCCCCCCCCCCCCATCGTCCAAAGCTCGTCGGGCAGTCGGACCAAAAAAAAAAGCCATTTCCGGCCATCTAAAAGTTCCAATTTTTATTTTAAATCTCGTTTTGGGAGGAGGGGACACCCCTCCCATATCCACCCCTGGCTCGGGTTTTCGGCCCTCAGATAACGCTGCGCGCTATAGCTGTGTCACATCATCATTGTAGTCAAAATAAAGCACCAACAATTTCTCATCTTTTTTCAGCTATTTTCGGCAATCAGAGATCTAAACAACCTGTGTGATGTACTATAGTTGGGGCGGGTGGTGGATTTAGCGGTAGGGGGTTGCGTGAGAGTCCAGCATCACCTCAGCCCCACCATGGTTGGGGCTGAGGTTGGAAAAGTTTGATAATATGTGGACCTGGAAAGTTGCAATCTCAAACTTTGAAAATCCTACCGGTACTATGTTCATAATGATAAAAATAATATATCAACAATACAATACAACAATTATTTTTCTTATCACAATTAAGAGATGCGATCGCACCGTATGCACCACCTGAATCCGCCCCAGTATAGAAAATAAAATTAAAAAATGTTGTCTTTGATGTACAGTATTTAGTTTACTTTACCTACTTCAAAGACGTGAGTCACACCCATCTCAGCCCCACCATGGTTAGGGCTGAGGTGCGAAAATTTTCGGAAATATTACCTCAAATCAGTGGTTCCCAGCCTGGGGTCCGCGGACCCCTTAGGGGTCTGCGAAAAATAATTTGGGTTCCGTCAAGTCAAAGGGGTCCGCAGGGGGTCCGCGAAAAATGTGAGGGATCCGCAAAAATCCGCTAGATTATTAGAACAACAATATTTTTTTCTTGTCTTACATCTGTGTGACCATGCCTTGGCAATAATGAAATATCTTTGACAGGCATGGCTTCGTTCACTGTAAATTGTTTTAATTGGCATTATATTTTAATTCCAATATTTTATTGGTGATCTGATAGAATCTTTTAAATTAGATTTTTATGTATTCTCTATATCTTTACTGTTCTATGTAAAGATGTTTAGTATAGGAGAGCCACTTGATAGTGGCAATCCTCAGGTAATGTACGGTACATCTTGTTTCCATGTTTTCTCTTGTATTGCAATTGAATTTTGAAATCAGGAAGGGGTCCTAAATTTGACAAAATTAAAAGTAAATGGGGGATAACAGAATATTGAATTCAAATGTTGAGTTTCAGGGTATCTAACAAGTGTCATAAATATAAAAGTGTGTACCTCACGCGCAACCAGGGTGGGGCTGTGAGGTAGCGTAAATCCTCTATCTGTAAAATTTATTGTCTGTATACCCCTCCCCTCCTGTCTATGTCGAATTCCAAAATCCAAGATGTAATTTGGCGAATATTCTTCTATCAATAATCTTATTGGCGGAATATCAGCTATGACTCGAGTCATCCTAAATTTTACAGATTAAAAATTAAAAAATAGGGGATGAGGATAAAAGAAAATTACCTTCAAATTTTGAGTCTGACAGTGCATTTCCGGCCATCTAAAAGTGGCAGGGACATAACAGTCCCACCCGTGGTGGGGCCGAGGTGGTTTCTATTTCGAATTCAAGGATTCGCCACTGTTTAATGTTGTACTTCCGTGGCGAATCATCTTCTATCTGTAGGCCTAATTATTATTATTGGGATATAGACAATGAGTACTATTTAGACATGGGGTCCGTGAAGATCTGACATGTCCAGAGGGGTCAGCGAACGCAAAAATGTTGGGAACCATTGCTCTAGATGGCCGGAAATGACACTCTTATGTTCTTAGGAATCAAAAATTCGTCATCATGACATCAACATTATAGTCAAAATGAAGTGTCAACAAATTTCTCATGATCTTTTATCAGCACTTTTCGGCATCATCTTTACATATGAAATTACATTGCGGTCAAAACGTGGGGAGGGGGAAACCCCGAGGACCTGCGCCCATGTGTGAAACTGTTTATTATATTTAACCTATAACTTTACTTCCGTCCCACTTTGGAGGCGCGTTTATAAGTTGTTTGAAGAAGTGTCCTTGGTTGGATTGTATCTTCGAATATAGCTTAATACCACAGATATCATTATAATTATAAAATCATTGTTCCTGCATTCGAGCACTTTTTAGACCATTACTTGATTATCTTTTACTTACAGTTGCTTATCATACGTTGGCTATACGGGCGGCATCCAATCAATCTGGTTAGCGAGTTCTTACTGTTCACACGTATGTATTCCTTTTATTAGTGCAGCTTTTTCGGGATTTTCATTTCATATTTATTTCATAACTCCTTCCAACACAAATACTATGACTTAATAGAAAGCGGAGAGGAGATGGAAAAGCTAAAAATGGTGATGTCGCCTCCCAAAGCTCTCCAATTCTATCCGTTCTATTTGTCTCTGGGTGAAGAATAAGAACCCTAGTAAAACACTTATGAAAAGTGAATGAAGCCCCAGTATTAACCACTAGCCCTCCACTAAGTCTATTTATCTAGACATCATAAGATCGATTCCCATCCGAATCCGAACTACGAGATTTATTTCACAAGTATTTGGGGCGCACTGAGTATAACCATGGACCTATTAATAGGTCCATGGTATAACAGTAAGACAATACATCGTCAGGTTGAACAGTCATTCCTAGTAACAGGCCCTTCGACTCTAGTTGGAGTAAAGCCGGGCACTAACTGCGCCCGAAGGTCGACGGCCGACGCGATTCTCTATGAAGAACGCAAAGACACGACGCGCACGATCCGTTCAGACTGCCGTCTACAATCAGCAAATGGATGCAGTGATGAATTCGTCGTACGACGCAGTGATGCTGCCCGGCTTAACGTATCCACCCCAATTTAGAACCCTTGATACTACCCTGAATAATAATACTTTCCATCATGTTTCTCACTTATAGATTGGAGTTGTGCTACACGAGATAGCACACGCTATCGGACTGCTACATGAACACACCAGGAGTGATCGTAATGATTACGTCACTATAAATGTTGACAACATACAAGATGGCATGGAAACCAATTTTGAACTCCGTACATTCGTTACCGATACAGAAGTGCCGTACAACCTCGGTTCTATCATGCACTATGGTCCGTACGTAAGTAATGTTAAGGTTTTTTTAAATTTCTTTTCACATCCATTAGGCCTACAGGATGCAGTGGCGAACTTAACACTCCCCACCTCAAAAGTTTTACAATCACAAAACGAAGTGGAGAAAGAAAGAAAATTATATGCAAATCTAAGTCTAGTGCCGTTTCCGGCCATCTAGAGGTGCCACACTCATTAATTCTGAGGTTGTATAAACCCCCCATCTGTGAAAGTCTTCGTATTCCTAGATCCACCAGTGGGGATGGATTAATGTTTTAGTCTCTTCATGGGGCTTAAGGCCAACTCAGACAGCGTCGGCCGACGCAGCCCGACGCGATTTGTTGTCGCGTCGGGTTTGTGTGAGTTGAACGCAGACGCGATGGTGTGTGCGTCGGGGGCAGTCGCGTATAATAGAATATTAAACGTGTTTAATATTTCTCACGGCGGCTTAAGACTGTCCCCGACGATAAATCGGGTCGGGCTGTGTCGGCCGACGCTGTCTGAGTTGGCCTTTAGTCTTTATTATCGAAGGCTTTTATCTAATAAATAGGCATCCGGCCGTTTAAACATTATTACAAACATAAACACAAATTAAGTGAGGGTTTCTGGATTAGTATTTCTATGATTATATACATAATACACATATTTAATAAATTACTGACAATATTCACATCTTTGGACGACATAATTTGAAATAACCGAAATATTGAATTATTTTTGTTTAAAAAAATGTGTTGGAAATGTTTTTAAAATTCATTTAAAAAGGGACAAACTAATATAAAATTATATTCGTCTTCTATTTCATCCAAGTGATATGAATTACACAATCTGTTATTTCTTTCTATGTTCACCCATCTACCCCTTTCTACCTCTAATTCCAAAATACTGTATAGCCTTTATTTTTCTGGGGTTTCAGGGGGAAAAGCTTCCTGGAATCTTTGCATTTAGCACTTTCCCTTGCTAGCATAGACAAAGTAATATGTACTGGGCAATGAAATATACAGTATAAGATGATACAGTAGGCCTATTTTTCGATGTACAGTATCTACAATTTAAATATTATTGAAAGGCAGTTTAATAATGAATACAAATACATTGTATAAATTTTATCGACGCCATTCTACAACATTTGCTTTTTTGTTTCGCACTCGATTGTTAGGTAATGGCTTTATTTTTTCTATGGCAAACGCCTCTTTATACGTGATTTAAAATTCAGGAGACTGTCAGTACATTCGAAAATATAAAATTTAACTTATAATGACACTACTTAATATCCTGGATTTATAAAGTGTGAGTTACGTAAGTGCTTTACAGAAGAAAGGAAACTGATGACCTAGAATGAGGTAAAAATTCTCATAGTTTAGTAAACAACAGCACATAAAAACATAAAATAAATGTCCTTTAAGTCTGGTTATTAAGCATCTATCTGTTTTATAATAATCAATTTTGCAACATGGATATTTAAAATTCGTTTTTACTTTTTACTTCCAAAAGTGGGCGTAGCGGGGGAACAAGCGCCCATTTCTCCCCAGCTGGATCCGCCCCGACCACTTTTGAAAATAAAAATCAAACAGATTCAAGTTTTAAAAAAATAAATAATCTGTAATCTAAAAAATTGAACTAAAACATTAAGAAATATATTTTTAAAAGTTTATCTATATAAATAAAGGTTTCCTATAGAATAGTAGTGGCCTTTAAAAGGGTGATATTCCTTTTAATGTACAGGTCTTCAGGTGGGTGGGTTACCCTTGGTGTTCACTTCATAAGCAAATGCCCCTGAAAATTAACCTGATTGATAAACCTTTTGTGTTGTAAAATTATGGTTACCATATGAGGTGTACTGTAAATAGAGCATGTTATGGTAGTTGATCATCCGATCAATGTACAATAAAATACACATAGGCATTAATGCTCCTGGTTTTATGAATTAATATAGGCCCACACTAAGGATGGAAATGATTATTTGGTACAATGATTACTGATAACAAAAACAAATGAGCTGTAGGTCTACCTATTTTTTCCCGTACATTACGTATCTTGTACTCCTACTGTAATGCCAAAAAACTTAAAATTTGAAATTTGACACTGTATTTAAATTGTTTAATAATTGTCCCCACTTATCAATTACGTGGGCTCAAAAATATATATATAGATACCAATGTTATCATAATATGACTTCACATAAAAAAAAGTTATGACCTTTTTCACGTATTTGCAGGGTTTTTCACGTATTTGAGGGTGCAGGGGTAATTTTACCCCTACACCCTCAATTTCGTTTTTTTGCCTGCACAGCTGTTCCATTTTTCAATCGATTTAAACAAAGGTGTCAAAATGCTTTGGACAATAAACCGCTTCATTTTAGACCTGTACATTTGGTATTTGAAATATCACTCCTTTTTGATACTGTAACAGCCCACCATTTTTTGAGTGTAGGCCTATTATCTTTTTATGCATTTTTTTTGTAGAAAAAGCTAGCTTTTAAAAAGAAATCTTTAGTTTTAGGTCACTGGCTGTGAATCAAAAACTCATTGAAGTGTTGCTTCTTGAAGATTGGGAACACAAATGAAAATAACATCTTTTATTATGTAAAAGATTGACACTAAATACCTAAACCTAAAGTCAAATAAAATGTAAATGTTATATATTTTTCAAACGTGTTTTAAACTAGGAAAAAACATTTAAGAAGCAAACAAAAGTTACTGTGAAGTAAATAAGTGGTTGTCCCTTGTTATCTTTTAGAGACCACTTTTAGCTTCGGTCTTTATTTAGAGATTTTATGTTGAGCTATCTACCCTCTAACTATGCTGCTTGGAGATCACTTCCAACCCGTGGTCTCCACCCCGAGACCACCCCAAATACCAGGTACACAAAGTGGTCTCGAATTAAAGGGTACTGTATTTATATCATTAATATTTTGGGATGGCCACATTTCATATAATCCAAATAGCAAATATAATTTGTTTAACGTTATAAACTCAACAAGGTTCATCTCTTTGTGTTTCCCGCATCTAAAAATTATAGCATTTTCTGATAATTAGGCATATATTTTCACTCATAACATTTTCAGTATAACATTAACAATACAATCGACTGATATTGAAAACCTTCCACATTTACCGTACCCATAATCGCCTCGTTCGGTGCTAATTTTTCAGTACCTAAAATGTACCTACAGAAGTTGATCTGGAAATCATCAATATGTTTAATAATATTTAATTCCCATATTTCACTGCCATATAAATTAATTAGGATAATTTTTACATCAAATAGACGATTCCAAATACCAATTGTTAATTGACTCAATTTTGTTCGTATCACATTTGTGAGTGCAAAAAGTCCTGCATCCCCTTGTGTCCAGCTTAATTATCTCACTTTCTCATCCTCCCGTGGAGTTGCATGTAACACCTAAATATTTGAATGACTTAAATATTTCAATTTCCTCATCTATACATTTCCAACTTTCATATTTAGGCCTCTTAAGGCTTGTAATATTCTTAAATACCACAATTTTTTTTCGACGTTTACTATCAAACACCATGTATTACAATAGTATGCTAATTTATTTAATAAATATTGTAAGGCTTATACTGTGTCACTAATCAGCACGAGACCATCTGCGAAAGTATGAATCAATAAGAAAATGACAATGATTACATTAACATAGAAATTATCACTATTACTATTATTATTATTTTGAGAATTTGTATTATTATTATTATTATTATTATTATTATTATTATTACTAATAATAATGATTGAATTCATTTTCTTTCAAGACGTTTAGCCAAGTGCCTAATAATAGGGACTATCTCACCATTGAACCTCACGATTTAGAACAACTAACTGCTATGGGAAGCCAAAGTAAACTGAGTCATCTCGATAGTTTGTATGTGAACAAACTCTACTCCTGTAACGGTAGGTTACATAACAGAATTTGGGGTTACAGAGATATTTATATTATCAAATACGTTCATTCAGATAGTTGTTTAATTAAAGCATAAACAAAGATAAGTCTAGGAATAATGTCATGTGTTACTAATACAAGTAATGTGTTATTTTAATTAGTTATTGTTGATATGGTCTTAATTTTGTTATTATTGCTAATGTGTTTGTTAGTGGTAACATTATTATTATTATTATTATTATTATTATCAATACTATTATTATTATCTTACTTATTATTACTTTCATTGAGGCTGCCTTTAGTGTTTGAAATACAATCGCTTCAATTGGATAGCACTAATTAAGTGTTCAATAACTTTGCAAATCTGAGCTTCGTGGCCAACATACGCCTAATGCAGAACACTATCTATATTTTTAGTCTGTTGAGGCAAGAGATGTACGGTAGTTAATATATTGGTGGCTATATACGTTTTATAGGTTTATATACGTTTGTATTTTTTAGACACATGTTAAGTTTATGTATTGTCAAGTTAATTCATAAGAATATTTTTTTCTCTTTTGATAGAGGACTGCACTGACGCACAGTTATCGCAAAATTGTAAAAACGGCGGTTTTGTCGGTAAAAATTGCGCGTGTGTGTGTCCGAATGGAATTGTCGGAGACTTGTGCCAATCAGTGGCCTCTTCTATCACCTCTTCAGGTAAATACCTTCTTCCTTCGCTTTGCTTTATGCTAGAGTTATAAGCTATCAACACAATATGTTATCTTGTAGTGTACACGTCAATTAAATTTAATTTCAATTTAAATGTCAAAATTAAATGCATTAAACAATAAACCATTTCATAATCTCAGAATGTGCATCTGTGTCGGGTCAAGTTGTACAAGGAAGAAATAACCTAATAAAGTAATTTTATAATTATTATTGTTATAGTGATCCTCATTGGTGTATAGAGGACTTTAAATTTCTCAAAGTTTAAATTTTAAAAAAAATCTTCTGTTTCAAGAGTCAACGACTAACAAAGATTTATTTTGTGTTGCAAATCAAATATTTTTAAAAATTTAATAAAGTTACCATTAATCTTTGTTAGTCGTTGAATGTGTTCAGTAAATCAATCAATCAATTTATTGGATCCACTTTTGATGCAGGGCACTTACATAAAATGCATGGTGCATCCATAATTAAAGAAACGTATATAGGCTACACAAATTCTTCGTATAAACCTATCTTCCCCCACCCCCACACCTTTTGTAATACTTCACTGCTTTTATGTAGGATTTTAGTCTATACCGTAACATACATCCTCATGTCTAAGCTACTCTAATTATTTCCCAAAATATATTTCGCTATTAATCTTGTGTTTTAAACAAATACATTTGTTGTTGTAACCAAGACAGTTTCACTGACTAGGTCCTGTTTCTGAGCAGTTTCTTCTTTCTTTCTTTCTGGCGACATTTCAAAATGCTACTAGTGGCAAACCACTGGACTGACTTTATTCAAACTTGGTCCGTAGGACCGGTGCCACCTCCCATTTATAGGATGTTAACAAATTGTGGCCATAGGTTACATAGGGTTCATTAGGGTCAAAATAATAAAAATGAATGAAAGACTACATCTTTTACAAATAACATAGCACAGTCTTGTCCTACCCTGTGCACATATGCATTGGCATAAGGTAGGGTCTTTATGGTGTTCAGAGATTTTAGGGTCAAATGTCATCAAGGGGTGCATTCTTTTGTACTATTTGGTAACATTTCAGAATGCTACTAATGGCAAACGATTGGACTGAATTTAATCAAAGTTGGTTGTAAAGAACCAGTGACATCTACTACAACCCAGTCTGAGATCATGAGTCACATATGGGTCATTGGGGTCAAATGATTAATAGTCCAATTGAGCTCAAAATTACATGGAATGATTCTTAGGACCTTCCAAACATAAAAAAAATACTCTCAACTTCATAGGTCAAAGTTCGTAGATCAAAAGTCAGTCTTCCATAGTTTTTGATGTAGTTCAAATTCATCAGGAACAATACTTAGGACATTGCCTAAATATGTTTTAATATGTTCTTAATGTTAATTAGGGTAAAAGGTCAAAAGACACCGTTGTCATTAGGTCATAATTCTAGTGACAAACGATTGGACCGATTGCAATAAAACTTGGTCAGTAGAACCGGTGCCACCTTCCCATCCATAAGGTGTTCACAGCTCAGGATCAAAGGTCATGGGGTCATTAGGTCAAATCCTGAAAAATGACTGGGTTCATGTTCTATTGAACATATTGTCTCTAGTTTTAATTACATTTCTTTTGATTTAACTCCTTGTCCTAATCAACTTCATTGGCTGCCTGTTTAGCAACATATACACTTCTTTTCGTGTATTATTTTAGCCTCGTCATTGTTCATTTCCACAGTACATTGATGACCTTCATAGTGCGCTCAACTACATCATCAAGTTCTACCTTTCTTTATTGTCCTTCAGGCCGGTTGAAAACCTATGGGAATAGATCCTTTTCTGTTGCGAAACGACTTATCAAATTTCATTACGCATCATCTTCATCTTTGGCCCCTTTTAAATTACAACTTAAGTCTCATATTTTTTTACAATTCTAATAAAGTTCTTTTTTTCTTGTTTCATTTCTTTTTCTTTGTCTTGACACTGGGTAAAAGAGCACATTGAGACATTGCACTGTATTATGCGCTTATAGAAATGGAAAACATTATGACTATTACCATTGATTTAATATAAAAACAAATTGTATTTGCATTATGAATTATTGCTATTAATTAGTTTTAATTCTGCTTGACTCATTCTTAGGTCAATAAAAATAAAATTATATAGAATCTGCGTCACTGTTGTATAAAAACGGGTCTAGGCTGGTTTCCCCCTGGACATTTCCTCCCGGACAGCTTCCCCCGGTATTTTTCCCCATGGACATTTCCCACCCCCTCCCCCCGTGACATATACATGTTTTACACTGATTATTCTGTCAATCAAAATTTTTTAAATGTATAGGTAGGCCTGTCTTTGATGTTTTTTTTTTCCCCTTTTTTTGCTAAGCGCCGCTCACGAATAAGCGCCGCGGCGCTTAATTGAGAGTACAGTATAGGCCTATAATCCCTGTCTCTTATACACATCTCGTAACTGTTCTCTTTATAATGGAAGCAAGACAATAGAATTTAAAAGCTATAACTACAATAGCATTTATTGAAGATTAATGAGACAAAACATTGAGGTGTTAAGGCGCAGGTATAACAAAAAATGTTTATTTCAAATACTATTATAAAAATTGATTTTCACTCTTGGTATCTTATTGAATGAACTTATTTGTGTACTGCATCATCTTAACCTACACATGGTTTATACTGATTATTCTGTCAATCAACATTTTTAAAATGTAGAAGTATCTTAGATGTTTTTTTTTTATTGCGATCAAGTCAATACCTATATAATTCTTACAAATAATTATTTAAAATAGGCTTACTATTACGAATTGCCTTCAGTCTCATTGAATGAACTAAATATCATATGAATAACTATACCTCTACTTAAAATTATGAAAAATAAAACATTAAAATGTATTGGGAACATGTACAGTATAATTGAATTGAGAAAATATAATACATAGGGGGAAACTGTCCGGGGGGCTAATGTCCAGGGGAAAAATACCGGGAGAAAATGTCCAGGGGGAAACCAGCCTGCTCCCGGTAGCCTAATTGTAGACCTAAATCTTAAAACTTAACGACGTGAATGGTATATGTAAATTTCAAATCATACAGCGTTGGAAGTGGAAAAAAAAATAATTAAAAAAAAATACAAAGAAATTGAGAACATATCTAATAAGCGTATAATACTGTATTAATTGGCAGGTAAAATGTGAAATTTCCAGGCCCGTATATCCAGTAGGTGGGGTGTTACGAAGAGTGTGTATAACGCACCCAACCAAATTTGATAAGGTCCACATTTCCAAGACAGTCGAGAATGTTCTGAATATAAATTTGTGATTTTATGTGATTTAAAAATAAAATCTTTAATTTTTACAATTTAACCAATAGGCCTAGGCCTAATCTACTCAGTCTGTCGGGTGCCGTGATTTGGAAAAACGCAATTTATTCAATTTTTAAATTTTTCCTTAGGGGCACCCTGTGGATGTAATCTATCATGGAACGTGATCATATACTCCAAACAATTTTTTGAAATATGAAATTATTATGAGAGTTACGCATTATATCCGACC